TTTTTCTCATTCTCTCATTCCCTGTCTGGCAGTTCCATTCCCCCTCTCAACTAGCCTCTCCTTCTTCTTTTCCCTCTCGCTCTCTCTCTCTCTGGTAAAATCCCATTAATCTCAGCAGGTGGTTTTGAACAAAAGCTATGGGCTAAGCGATTGATCCGGGCATTGATCCCACTCGCCTGAACAATAATAAAGGTGTTAAATTGGTTTCTTGGAGGATATGTATTTTTCATCGCTGGCTGCCGCAATAGAAGTTCCTGCTTGGAATTTTACTTTCCCTCTCCCTTTTTTTTAAGTACAGCTAAAAATGGGTGTTTAAATAATAAATAGATCACACCTTGAAAAGCAACCTTAAATGTGGATTTTGAGACCAGTTTGAAGCAATTTCTGAAGTGGATGTTAAGTGCATAAACTTTAGTTGCTAAATCCGTGATGGGCTTTGCTACATCCAAGGACAAAAATATTCTTGCTTTTTTTTTTTTTTTTTACCCTTCGAGTGGAATCATTTCTGGAATTTATTTTATGGTTAGAATAGAAATTCAGATGTGCATTCATTTTAATACACACATTTTTTTTTTCCCATTGTATCACCTCTAAGCAAAACCTTATAAAGCAATAGTATTAAAAGCTTTTGAGATTTATGTCCACTGATATTTGGCTCCCTGCAAGTTTATTCTGAGAGTAAATATTTTCCTTAAAGGACAATTGCAGTGAGAGATGCACAATTAGAGATTTGTAACTGAAACCTTTGATATGCTCATTTAATTTCAGCCAATTGTGATTTTGCTTTAAGAAATTCAATTAATCTGTTTTTAAAATATTTGCTCAGCTTAGTGCTGTGAGCAGTCATTAACTGTTTATTAATTAATTGTGTTTTACTCAGTTTAAAAAAAAAACTAAATTATTTTGAACTCACATTTTAAAACTACTGAGCAACTTAATGGCAGTCTCTCTCTACACAGCAATACTTCTCCACTGGTCAGGGTTTCGGACACACGATCATGCCTGGTTGGTGATCTGAGATCCAAGTAAAAAATAAAAAAAATAAAAATTATTATTCTTTTTTCAAATTAGTCACAAGGATTAATTAGTATTAATTAGTATTCAAGTATTAATCATAAGGCCGAGATTTACTCAGAGCAAACGGTGACCAGCACTTTAACAAACTGTGATGTTTGTTAAACATCATGTGTTTTGCTATTATTATGCAAAACACATGGAACAAAAGATTCGGGAGAAGTTGAAGGCCCATTGTCCTTCAACTTATATGCATCTCTTCTTCAACACAACTAAGTCAGTTAATTAGGTCATTAGCAGGACTCTGCAGAACATGACTGTATATTGCAGAGGTGACTTGATCCAGGTCCGTTGGACCAGGGACACATCTGAAAGTAGCAGGACACAGGCTTTAGAGGCCTGGATTTGAGAACCCCATGAAAACCCCTGATTTAAGTCAGAGATTGAAGGCTTGGCTAACTTTGCAGACATCTTCTGAAATCCATTTGCTATTTCCTCAAAGCATGTCCAAGTGGATTTCTTGTTACAGACAGCTTCTTTTCATACAAGAAATGTTAAGTACCTACCAAAACTATTATGCAAAATGGCAAAGCTGCAAATTGCCTGTGTCTGTTGCAATAGCACATAAGAGCATTCAGCATCATTCAGAGATCCTGAAAATCTGGTTGCTTTGAGGTCTCTCTTCTTATAACCAGGGTCCTTTGTTTTATCTAAAGTAGCACAAACATTAACGTAGCATCTGGCATCCTTTAATCAACAGTATTTAATTCCTACAAATATATTTCCCACAGAATAATTATATAGTTTTGAGCTTCACTGATTATCAAAATTAGGAGGATTTTCTCTTTCCCATCTGTCCTCATTGCTTTAAAGAGCTGGAACAGTAATAAGAGACGTTATCTAAAATGTCCATGGCAGTGTGATAAGCGTCAAACAGTAATACATGAATTATCAGTTTTATTACTTTTGTGTTGTTCGAGCAAACGTCTTGTTTGCACTTTCCAATGCCATAACAGTCTGTGGTTATCAGCTACTGGTAATCATCATCATCTGATAATTATCAACCGTTTTCTCTCTATGAGAACGAGGCCATGTCACTTCATTTATATTATCGAGTGAGCAGGCAGCCTATCTTGTAAGAACAAGCGCCGTATGACAGAGCAAAGGAAGAGCTTGTCAGGGAAACAGCTTGTGATGCTGGTACTTAAAAGGTCAGCGTGCTCAACTCCAACCACTGGTACGCCCTTACACTTGTCTGTCTGTCACCATATCCCCCCTTTCACCAAGCGGGTGTACGCTGCCCTCATCTAGGCTGCTGTCACCCATCGTCATCCCCTCTGAGTTGCCACCCTTTGATGACCCGGGCTTCTTGTCAGAGAGGAGCTTCTAGGCAGGCACAGAGAGGACAGTCCTTTGAAGAGGACCCCGGCACTTGCCAGGCCCAATGACACGTGGCTGATTTCTTTGAAGAACTCAGGCTTTATGTTTACCAGTCCATCCACAGATACACGTCATGCCTTGCTTCCAGCATCTTTACATGGAGAGACGATGAGGAGCGCTTGGTCTTACACTGCTTTCCATGCCCTCTGATGGTTTTAATGAAGGCATTTGAATTTTCCTTTGGTCTTGAGCTCATGACACAGATGGCGCAAAGCTACAGAAAATAGACGTATAGGTGGGCAAGTGACAAGAGGAGTCCACTATACTGTCAGATATGTTGGAAAAGGTCAAAGCAGCATTGCTCTGATTTTTTTTAATTTTTTTATTTTGTTGAACTGATAAATGAGGAATGAAAGATGTAAGACATCTGAGACTGGTGGTTTTCTATTACTTTACTAGACTTTTTCTTTAAATTACATTACTGTGTTTAAATAACCTACCTGAGCTTTCAGCCTATTGAATACAATATCAAGGAAAATATATTAAAGAAAACCATAAAACTGTTTTGGAGCACTAACTATAGTATGATCATATATTTTATTATGCATTATTATGCAGGGATTTTTTTTATTCCCCTTGAATACTTTTTCATATTTTGTCATGTTATATCCTCAAACTTCTGTGTATTTTACTGGGATTAACTTTGTCCATCCCCCAATTTACTTTGGCCTGCTTCTGTGTCACTGCCGAATAAAAGCATGCCCACATCATGATGCTGCCACCATTGTGTTTTAATATGGTGCTGTGCAATTGTAATTTCCCTTCATGAGACTTTTTTACAGTTTCTTCCTTCTCAAGGACAGGTTTGTGAAGATCATGACAAGTTATTGTCTTCATCTCTTCCAAAGTTATGATGGGCCTCCTGTCTACTTCTTAGTCTCCATAACATTTTGGGGCTCAACAATAGTTGTGGCACCAGACCAAAATATGACAAAATGTGAAAATGCTGGAGGACCATGAGAACTTTTATAAGGCACATTTCTTTTTTTCTTTTTTTTCTTTTTTTTTCAGTGAAAAATTATATGGAACTTTGTGAATTATGGTGAAATTCATTCATGTAAAAAAAACAAAAACAAAAACTGACAAATGTATACATCATACAAATTAAACTAAAGGTTTACCTGAATCAGAGTCAGTACATCATTGTTGCCTTTAGAATATATCAGTTAAGGTTTTCTCATTCTGCAGCTGAATGTGTAGTCTGTAGTGCGTTGTCTTCCTAAAAGCTAAATAGGCATTCTTTGACACTTGCTCTAAATCAGTAGTCAAAACAGTTCCAGTTAACAAGAGACAAGAGTTCAGACCTGTCCATGTCAAAATAAATATTGAAGTGTTTCACATTTTTAGCAGGCCTGCAACTGCAGACATCAAATGAATGAGTAAGGTCATTCCATCGCACACTTTCTTAACTGCTTCAAAACACATTCCTCACAGGTGTCTCTACATTGCAGCTGCCTGTGTCACAAAGTTCCAACATTGATCCACATTCTTAACCCTGCAAGCGGCTGACATGGGCAATGACTGTCACATACTGTTCTCACACAGTCAAAGCAGCAGTTCACGTCTTTCCACCACAGCCCACGATATTCCCAATAAACGCCACAAAGAGCAAAAATGTTTGCTGATAGGGTGGGGAAGGGGAGAAAGAATGAACCTCTCGTGTATTTTCCTCATTCCTGTCCTCTAAATGGGCCCCTTTTTTTCCCCCCCGTGTCCACTTTTTTGCAGTAATGATTAACACCGCTGAGCATGGGAAGAGACTCTCTGTTACAATGGAGGAGGTTGTTTTGGTTCCCAAATTACCGATTCACCTGTGTTAGCTTCCCAAGTTCATCTGGCAGATTACTGGGAGCCTGTGGCTGGTATTTAGGAAGAAACTCTCCTCTTAATCATTATCATTGTGAGAATCACTCAGAAACGTCTGGCAATGGGCAAACAGACAAAACCCGTAACATTGTCAATTGAAGCACGTAGCAAAGCACTCACTCTGGAAAGGTTCACATGAGAAAAGCTTCTGAATGAGTACAGGGGACTTTTGCGCTCTGCGTGGGGTTGTGACAAAAACACACACCTGATCAATACCAATTGACCTGTGTGTAAGCTCACCCTGCATACAGGGTCATGTGATACTTTCAAGCTGGTTGCCAAACTGTATATACATACGCTGTATATACATATATATATATATATATGTATATATATATATATATATATATATATATATATATATAAATGTAAAGCTTGCACAGTTCAACAGTGTGTCCAGGTCTTTCCGCTTTGGTTTATAGGCTATATATGCACACACAACTCCATCGTGTGCTCTGTTGAATGAAAAATCTGTCTGCATAAACATCTGCAAAGACAAAAACCCCTGTCACCCAGTAACAAGGGACAGTGACAGACATACATTCGGCTCGGATGACAGATTTCTTACAGTGGATATGAGGTTTAGTTGCACAAACACAGACTGTTGTTTCAGCTGTATGGGACAGGAAATACAAACAGTCGACTTGATGATTTTTTTTGTTTTGGGTGTCTTTAACCAGGTGGATGACCAGATGAAGCTGCTGCAGAACTGCTGGAGTGAACTCCTCATCCTCGACCATGTTTTCCGTCAGGTGGTACATGCAAAGGAGGGCTCAATCCTGTTGGTCACAGGCCAGCAGGTAAGTTAGTCAATTTCCTCATTTGGTGACTTCCAATGACCTACACTGTTTAATTTTCCCTCGAAATCCAGAAAAATGTCATGCAGGGCTTTGAGTGACCTCTGAGGATGTATTTCTGTAATGTTTGTTGATTCTGTCTCCCATGAAAAAAAAGCTAGAACTTCAATTTAATCTAATTAAACCCCAATTAATGTCTAATCTTCTTGGATCAATCAATTTTACTCAGTGTATTAGTATTCCAGCTGTGGAAAATATAAGGAAAAAGTGATGACTTATTTCGTTTTCCTGCTATATATGAGGAATACGTTCTGATACCAAGTCTACATTGGTTCCCTCTGCTAATTTGAATTTATACACACACTGAAAAAAGGAAATGTATGAATAAACAATATAAGTAAATAAATAAAAAACTCTACAAATACCTAAACCCAAAGGAATCCCGCCATAGTATTCTACTTTCTCCCTGATCTAGTTCAAAAAAGTCAAACTCCAAAAAAGGAAAAAAAAAGGTACCCAAGCAAAACTATGAAAAGAAAAAAAAAACATTGTAAATATGCCTCTGAATAAGATGAGACATTATAAATTATAGATTTTCTTGTTCTCCAAAAACACCGCCTTCCATCACAATCTTTTACAACAACAGACTCTGGCATAAATTTTGGGAGAAAATCAAGTGCATGTACTCTAAATGCACATGCTTGATTCCACTGTTCTGAACGAAGACAAGGTCATGTTTTTCAGAACTGGTGTAGACCTGCTTGCCTCTGCTTACCTCTGCTAAATAAGTAGCACGAGATATTGTTTGCGGCACTAGTTTGAGATTAAACTACAGGTCCAAGACAAGTGAGCTGTTTCCTAAAGGATGGTGAGATGAAAACGAGAAGAAAAGTGACAAAATTAAAGAAGGGCTGTGGGACAGGAAAATAAAGAAAATATCAAATGGAGAACATTTGGAGGAGGTATGAAGAAAACGATGGAAAATGTCAGTAAAAAGAGGCAGAAGAAGCGGAGTAGTGCAGCGATGGGACAGGGCATGATGAGGCGAAGCGGACAAGGCGGTTTGTGGAGGAGGAGAAGTGAAAGGAGGGGCTGATAGTCTGGGGAGGCGCAGGTCAGCGCTTTCGTTTGCATACTGTGGTTAATGAACAGCTGGTGTTGAGGAGTGTGTGTAAATGTATTCATGTGGCTGTGCATCAGTGTGTGTGTGTGTGTGTGTGTATGTGTATGAGGCTCTGAAACAGTTCATTATCTCCTATTATTCTCTGCCTGGCCAGGGGTGACAGCACAACGATAATACCAGGGATGTTTAGACCACAGTAGCGGCATCACCTCAAGCAAAGGCTACACAAACACGCCAGCACAAAGAAGGCTCATTTTAACCAAAGCAGAATGTTTGCCATATTTAGTTTGTGAAATGCTATAGGACTACAACTGTGGAGGTTTTTGAGACATGAATTAGTGGGAGGTGATATAAGTCACTGATTTTCTATAGATTTGCTTTTTGGCAGTTCGGAAGGTTAGGGATGAAGATCTGGAAGACAAAAGTAATGACAGAATTGTTGAGGGAAAAATAATAATAATTATCTTCCAGTCTGTTTAGCTGGATTTTATCTTTTTACCTGGTGTCAAATATGCATAGTTACTAAAGCAACCAATTGCATTCAGACATCACATAATTTGTGAATATAGTGAGTGCACTGTAATCGTCCAAGTAATTTAGTCTGCAATTTAATTCAGTGGTTACAAGAAGGCCTCCGAGGTTAGTTAGAGAATATAAGTGAACAAACAGAATCAATACGACAAAAAAACCACACAACGCAGACCGGGGATAAAGTTGTCGAGAAGTCTAAATCAAGGCTAGGTCATAAAGCGGTATTTTAAGGTTTGAATATCTCACAGAGCACCCTGTTCAACCCATTCTTCAAAACTACTATACCACCAAGTGTACACATCTCAATGAACGCTCCAGACCTCGAGTGAAAAATGGTGTCGATAACATCATGGTGTGAGAATGCTTTTCATCTGTGGAGATAGGGAAGCTATTCAGAGTTAATGGGAGGATGGATAGAACTAGATTCAAGGTCATCCTGACAGAAAACCATCCAGTTCTACACCGAATTGTTTCGATCAAAACATTTAATTGTGTTACGACAGTCAAGTGGAAGTCAAGAGATAAATTTAGCAAAATGAAGACTTTTGTTGAATTGCTATAAGTTCACGAATGGAGCACATTAAAGCTTTATAAGTAACTAACACAATAACACAATGCCACCAAGCTATCTTTAAGCTTAGATATCATAGTTTAGATATGAGAAATAAAGTTCATAGAACTTTATATGCGATATGTGAGCAAAATTTTTTTAAGTGGGTGAAAAAGGCATAAAATCACATAACATGTAATATTTTCATAAAGATTGCTCTGTTGTTGTAACAGGTGTCTCTCATTTTGCTTTGAATCGAGCTGCCTCTTTGCTTTGCTTCTCTACCAGTTCAACTCCCACAGTTGAAAAGAAACCCATTGAAGCAGCAAATTAACAGTTACAAGCTGTCATTTGGTGTCTGTCCTGCTCTTTTGCCGCATGTTCCCTGCTTGCTAATTCCTTTTTTTTTCTCTCACATTTTCTCTGATTCTATACTGCCGTGTGTTGCCTTGTCACCGACATCAGAAAGATATGGCCATGAGTGCTTGTTCTTCATCCTGTCAGGAGGATCAAACATGCAGTATAACTTGCATAAATGTGTACAAAGATCAGATGAGAAAGACTGCCATGATTAAGCGAGGCCTCGAAAGCTTGGCAGCTGGTTTCATTATAAGTCCTGACATTTTGATGGCACGCACTCTTATGTTGGGCTACAAGAAATTCAAATGACCAAAGAAAGACATACAAAGAAAAAAAGAATCATCAGTAAAATCCTTTGTTTCTTTACATTCTTACTCGAAACCAGTAGTCCCTAAAAATAGCATTTTGAGTTCAAATATTAAACAGCGTACCTCGCCCCACCAGGCACAATAAGCAAACATTGATTGATTGCCTGATTGATACACAGGTCACCAAAGTCAGAGTTAGTGCTAAGTCGGCTATAGTGACATTATAGCTTTTTCCTCACCCCTTTTACTAAGGCGAGGAGGTAATAACCCAAAGCACCACCATCAACAGTCCAATCTTTCAATGAACTTATTTCATGCACAGTTGATTTTATGTAAATTGATTGACACCTTGGATGGGGGCAGGCAGTGTCTGCTCCCCACAGTCATAACTCTTTATGTACTGCAGGTAGTAAGAAGGGGAGAGGGAGGGACAAAGCAGTGGGGACAAAGAGGATGGCCAAGTGAGAGCATGAAGAAGTCAAAGGGGATTAATTCCTCGTGTCAGTGTTTGCTTTGCTTTGACTCATCGGGCGAGACAAAAAAAAAAAAAAAAGATTTGTGGCGAGAAAGGATACGAATCATCTTATTTACACAATAAATAAAACTCCAGACCCTGAGGCTGGTTTTAATTGCAAATGCGTGCTCGCAGGGACTCTCTTCCTCTCTGAGCTTTAGGAACTGCGCACGCCAACATCCACCTTCCCCTGGAAAACCCTGCGCAGTCAATTATGGTAATGAATCGTCAATAAATATAAAAATTTAATACGGTCCTGCTTACTGTGAGTGGCAGCTAAGGACCTGCCCGCCCAGAAAAAAATGTGCTGCGCCTGCAGATCTGAAGCGCACCTGAAGAGAAGTGTTTGTTTATGCCCGTTTGAGTGAATGCCTTTGATGTAATATGTAGATTAAAATATATATTGTTCTTGTCATGTGTCACAATCAAAGCTAGAAGATTTATAAAGGTGGCTATTAATGCTTTTATAACAATACTTGTTTGAAAAAACTAATGTTTTTTATTTTTTTTAAAAACTGACAGGAATTGCACTGCCTTCATTAAGTGGTATTAAGTAAAGTCATTGGTCTTTAAATCTGCATGTTTGATCAATAAATGCTTGGAATCTATTGGCATTGTATTTTTTTCATGGGAATGTCGTTTCTGTGTTGCAGATGTCTTAGCATCTTTCTGTCTCCCTTCCTGCTTTGTCCAGGTTGACTATGCGGTGATTGCTTCACAGGCGGGTGCGACGCTCAACAATCTGCTGAGCCATGCTCAAGAGCTGGTAGCCAAACTACGCTCCCTGCAGCTGGACCAAAGGGAGTTTGTTTGCCTCAAGTTCTTGGTTCTGTTCAGTCTCGGTGAGTTTCTGAAAAGTGTGTTTTAGTTGTGATGATCGCTGAGTTAATCTTTTCAATGGGATGCCACAGAAAGAGTGACCAGAGTACTTTTTGGCTGTATGGGGTATAGAGTGACGACGTCCTGCCTCTCCCCCACCTGATGATGCAAACTGCTGGTCAGTTGCTCTGAAAGAAGTCTCCTACACTGTGAAATTCAGCTGTTTGGAAATATATCGAATCATTTAAAGACGGTCATGGCATGGAAATTAAAGGAGTGCCACCCCATCAGTGGTAATAAAATGTAAAAGTCACATTTAAAAACCAGAGGTACATTTCATCTCCTGTACAATTCAAGCAGTTCACCATGAGAAAAGCTGAGTTTGATCAGCCAGAAACCATGATGGACAGTATCAAGGGAATAGAGGTTGAAACAAGCAATGTTGAGGAAATTACTACTCAACTAACTACAACGCAATATGCTCTTCATGATCGTGTTTGATGCGCAGTGGTGCTACTGGGTTAAAGGCCCATTGTCAGTCTCTTTTCTTCGGGCAGAGGAAGGAGTGTAAACTTTGGAATTTTGGAAAGGAAAACGAGGAAGTTGGAGAGGGGAAAGGTTGAAGGGAGGTGTGAGAAGGAAAGAGACAGGAGAAAATGGAATAGGAAAAGAGAGGATACTGGGAATTGATATAAGGATCCGTGTGCAATGTATTCTGTATTCTAGGACAGGTGGGAGAGAGTTAAGGTTAGAAGGACGACCAGAACATGAGATTAGGAGGAGGTTAAGTGCCTTATTGAGTTAAGGGACAAAGAGGAGGGTAAATATGTTGGGATGTTCATATGTGCACTTGTAGATATAAATCCTTATGCCAAAGCTGCTGACTCCTCTTACAGCTGAGGTCAGGCATAGCTATGAAAATGTTTTCATTGCAAACCATTGGAAAACAAAACAAAGCAAAAAACAATGTACTAATAAGCAGATACACATACGAATCAGCCAGAATTAATGCGTCTGTTAGCTGAATTTGTATAGAAAGGTGAAGCAGTAGGGATACCTGCAGAGGGATTTCAGTGTATGTATGACTGTGTGCGAGCATGTTTGTTTTGTTACTTTTTTTTTTTTTTTTTTTTGTTGGGTTGGGGGTTTGCTCGGGCACAGGGTCTAAATAATTTGGCAGAGGAATCATCAATAATGAAAGGCCCACCTGAGGGATGTGTATTGCCCCCGGCGGTGCATGTTCTCAGGCCTCCCGCAAAAGAAGACTGATATAGGCAACGTAGAGCCAGCTGAGGGCATCAGTGTAAAAAGGGGAGGAGTCCTTAGTGGGATGGAGGAAAGGATACAGTGTGAGCAGAGTAAACCATGGGAGATTAAAATTTATGTAAATAGTATAATTTACAGCTGATGTAACATTTACATAAGTTCTTCTGTGAGAGGACTGGTTTTCTGGAAGACTGTAGTGAAAGATCAGATGTTTCGACTTGATTGCCACTCTAATATCAATCTAATAAACTAATAAATATATGATTGCAAATACAGATTTTTATTATTATTATTATTTTTGAAGAAAATTTAGATTTTGGATGTTAAACTTTTCCAAAACGTATGAATAACTACCTCCTCACCTTTATAATAGATTTTTTTTTTTTTTTTTTTTAGCAAAGCTGAATTAATTTTTACCAGCCACACCAGGTCTGATTACTTCCAGACCCGTAGAATCAAATATCTTAAAAAAATAACTCATTTCTTAACTCATGTTGTAAGGTATCAAAGACCTGCAACACAAGAAAATACAATAGCAAAACACTTAGCAATAATTCTGAAAAAAGAGAAAAGTTTGAGCTTGAACTAATCTTTCCAACTAGAATCAAACTAAATTTTCAAGCTGAAAATCAGAAGATCTGATGTCTGAATTCAGCTGTAGTGGACTATATTGTATAATATAACATATATGCATAGATGTTGAGTACGTGACATCACAGTGAAAGGTAGTGTACACAGATATTTAGTTAAAAACACAAAAGTTTACAAATGCATAACTTAAAGGCTGTCCACAAATGTCATTGATATGTGGTTTTGTAAAATCATTTAATCGAGTTGTGGGCATATAATATTGAATGCTATAGTTGATCATTTCCCCTGTGAATCTTGGAAGTACAGTGATTTATTCTGCATTTTTCTGCCTTCCCCCGTGCCTTTTTTACTTTCCATTTCATTTCTGCCGTTTGTCTTCCGCCTTGATTTTTCTCACTGGCTGTCTCCTCTATCGACCCCCCCAACCCCCCGCCCCCCGTCTTTACTCCCTCTCACTTTCTGTGTGTGAACAATCAGTCACTTTCCCACTAGCAGAGGAGCTTTTAGTTAAGCAAGATGTCGATATAGACAGAGATATAGATGTCAGCCCACCTGAGGGGAGACACTTGTCATGATCTGTGCGTGTTTGTTTTCAGAGTTAGACTTATTCTGTCTCCCGTTGTTCTCTTTCACTCCTTCAACGTCTTGAGTGAAGGTTCTTAACCTCTGTCAAGGAGGAAATGATCACTGTGATCATTGATCTCCTAAGTGTTTATAGTAGAGAGAGCGATGACTGTACTGTATGTCTTGGACAATGAGAAACAAACACTTTAGAGTTTGCGGTCTGCCCAGGTCAGAGTTCAGTGAAGGATCACCACAACTCCTTCAGTGTCAGGACGCTGTTAATGGGTCTTTGATTTCCTTTAAAGTTCTCAAAGGCCTTACACAGAGACCGACAAGACGCCGGATGATGAAACATCACGAGGTGAAGAAGAGGTCACAAGCTCGAATTCAGATTAAGGAGAATGGATTAAAGATGATTGCTTTTCCGCTTTGAAGAAAACTTTTTTTGCTGCTTCAAATGTTGGAGGAAAAATAGCAGTTATTGATCATCCTTTACCAAGACAAAAAAAAATAAAAAATACACAAATGTGTGTCTGGTGATGTTGTGACAGAGGTCAGAGCATGTTCAGCCAGCGAACATTTAACCCAGCTTAGTGGGTCAGACCCCGTCACATATAATTGATTCAGTCAGGTGCTACCAGGCCTCGTCAGCCAAGAGCAGAGCCAGAGGACCTGCCAGAGCCGAACGGGGTGGTAAACTGTCCCAGTGGAGAGAGCACTACTGGGAATAAATAGACTTAAAATAGTTCTTTATCAGGAATAATAAATGTGAGAACAGAGTGAACATTTTCAGTGGTCTTTGACATATTTTTTATTTTATTTATGTTGTAGGTTTTATGAAGTTGTGACTTTTAAAATTTCTAACAACTGAGCATTTCCTTGAGGTTATTTAAATAGAGAAATTGGGGGTCCAATCTAACGGTACAGACACATAGAACTGCCTAAATTACTATAATAATTTATAAATGAAGAATCAACAATTTATTGTGTTCTTTTTAAACCAAAATGAATTAGCCAATTTCAGTCAAATTATTTGTTCTTAATTTTATTAACATTTGAAGTCACAAACATACAAAAAAAAGTCTATTTCTTTCTTAATTATAACCAAAAACTGAACAATTTTACACTTAAGATGAAGTTATGATTAAGATGCCATCGAACTTCATAACTTAATGAGCCCTTTAGTCATGCCATTCAGTCAGAAAGGCTTTTTGGAGGAAATTGCTTCAATTTCAGACACATTTGACAAAATATAAATTCTCAATTTCTAACCTTTTACATTGAAGCCAAAAGCAAAAAACCAGGGTGTGATGGTTCTTTTAATCAGTATCATCAGGATTGAAACCCCATTCATAAAAAACAACAACAATGATTTAAGAGTGAACCTCGATTAGCTTCCTGCCAAGTGATTAGTTGGTCTCTGAGGTTAGAGAAGCTCACCCATCAATCCCCTTCCTCCTGACCTCCATCCTTCTACATTCATCCAGCCCTTTGCATTGTCTCTTGTCTCATTGTTCTGCCCTTTCTGTCCAAATCCATCTTTTTACACTATTATCGATCAAGGGTCTATCACAAGATCCACATCCACTGCTTCTCATTCATCTTAACCTTCAGTTCATCTTTTTTCTGCTTTTGAACCAACCCCTTCACCCATCTCAGCCTTTAAAAGCCTCCAATAGTAATCAGGAGTACTTTAATTAAAATTAGATTTCAGATGAAACAAACCTGTGTCTCAAACAGGTTTAGGGTGTTTTAATCTGTCCATCCTCAGTTTTTTTGCATGAGTTTTATATTAAAATCAGCTCAAAACATATCCAACCTCACATTATGACACGTTTCTCATTTGCATAATTAGGGGGTCTTTTGGCATTGCAAGGTCAGACACAAATCTGCTGACAACAAAAACACAACAGATGAATTAACCTTGATGAAAACACACACTTTTCCTCCTTCCTTTTTTATAATTGCTGATTCCCCACACAATGAGAAAGAGAGAAACACAAAGCATGTAATTCCCAGGCAGGTACAGCCTAATTAAAGCAAGAACTGAGGCTCTTCACAATCAATGTCCTGATCCTTGGCTGTAGAAGGCATGCACTTCCATACACACAAATAGAGATGAACACACGATTTTACACATACAGCACAAATTAGTCTTACAAATATTTATTTCCAGAAAACAACTGAATCATTTACGATGTAGCGGAGGATTGATCAGCATCATGAGGGAGTGGTTTATCAATACTTGTTCTTTTTTAAACTAAATTAGGAGCCAAATGATGTGGAATTCAAGCTGCATTTAAATACGTTTTAACCCTTTACAGCTTAATAAGAATGTGGGATCATAAAATATATTTATTTATTTATTTATTTTTTTTTTTTGTCCCCTCTGTGGCCAAACATTCTGCTGGAATGGCCACCTTGGTCCTTATCAATACGCTAATGAAATATTGTGAAGTGTAAGAGGCTTTATAATTTATTTTTTTTCCTCTTCCCTCAGAGGTAAAAAATAGGAATCAGTAAGCCACATGCTTACTATAAAAAAACAACTGTAATGACATAAACAACAGAGTTTAACCTTCAGTGTAAGTAAAGGCACTGG